AAAGTGTCCAGGGATTTTGTTTAAAAGAAACATTCGCGGTATAATTGCAATTTTCGTTTTACAATCATCAGCCGCGCGTTATATTGTATTTTAAATTACTTTATATATGAATCTAACTAAACTGATGTTTCAGAGGGTAAACCAGGGAGCCCGCTGCCTGCAGATGCCTCTGTCGTGGTACCCATGAAGGAGTCCTCTTGAAGAGTTAGTACCAAGCCATCTACATCTATGCTTTTTATCTACCTGATGTCTATGATACAGACCATGATAATCATGATGGTTATGTGTTTGGGACTGACTTAATTGTACAATGTACTGACCTGATAATACAACAGATTTCTGATGATGATTTTCTTTTTATTATTCTCTAGCTTTCGGGCATCTCTCTTCTTTTACAGGAATACATAAAATGAATAATAATTTATTCGTTTTATGTATTCCTTTAAAGGGCAAGGAGATTCCTGAAAGCTTGAGATATTAAATTAATAAAAAATAAACATATTTCTCCAGAAAACTGTTGAATTATTTCAATCTATGATACATCAGAGCGCCATCTGTTATATTAATAGCATTTCCAAGAGGTCAGGGTCAGTATGGGTATAAAAAGAAAACCGAAAAAATGCAATATAACAGCGGTATGGTAGATTAAACTTGCGAAACCGCTGGGAGGGTTTACCACTGATGAGCCAGGCCATCCCATTAATTTTTCATTACAGTAAGAGCAGTAGAGAATTATTTAATGTTTAAAAGAATCATACGCATTTATAAAAGTTTCGAATTCTGATATTTTACAATATAATACACTGCGGCCTGTGATTGCAAAACGACACTTGAAGTTACACCGCATGAGTTTCTTTTCAATGAAAAATCAAAATTTTATTTCAAGGTGAAATATTGACTATTTCTAAACTTTTTGGATGAGGTATGAATGGGTGAATTATGAAGAGTAATGATGAACGGAAAAATAAAAGTGTCCAGGGATGGGAATCGAACCCACAATGTTCCGCTTACCGGGCAGATGCCATGTCCACTAGGCTACCCTGGACGTATTTTTCCGTTCGTAAATGATACATAAAGTAACTTATAATACAATATAATACACCGCGGCCTGTGACGGAAATCAATCGCGACACAATGTGAAAAATTGTACAAATGTGATATTGTACTGGGATAAGGTGCATAAATTATGAAAAAGGCATCTCCTTAGTCTAGTCGATTTCTTTTATGTTCCTTTTCTTCCTAGCGAACACAAAAATCCGTATATATGTATGGTGACTAGGTTAATCTAGAATACGCTTATTTCTTTGATTCTTGGCACAAACTTTTCTGATACTCTTCGCATTGCTAAAATCAAACATCAAAATGCTCTACATTTGACTACAGGACAACCTGGAAAAGTATAAGGTTGTCCCGAAAGTTAGTGTTTTTCTTAAAACGTTTTTCTTATTACTTGACGGCAAAATACATAATAATACATACTACAATTACTTTATACATAATACAAAGACATTATACATAACGTCGAATAATATTGGTATTTCAATTTTTTGCAAGTGTTTACGAACTTTTGAGACAGCCTTGTATTAAAATATGCTTATGTAAAGAAATTGCACTAATATTTCAGTTTCAAGCACAGCTGTTCTGATCAAAGAACAAGATAACAATTACAAAACCTGAGTTCACAGTTCAATATTATTACGTTGAATACATAATAATACATAATACAATTATTTTATACATAATACAAAGACATTATACATAACGGCGAATAATATTATTACGGCGAATACATAATACAATTATTTTATACATAATACAAAGACCGTGCGGCCACGCGTCGCGCGAGCTCCGTATTTATCGCTTCTGGCGAGCGATGTATCATCTGTAAACATGCCGAATTCGGCATCACCAAGGAGCCCAGGACCTGCTGGACAAGAGCCTGGAAGGCCCAGCATCCTATCTCCAACCGGTGGCAAGAATTCGTTGAAAAACGAATTACATCGAGAAATCTCTAGAGAGAATTCTGCAAATAAAGATTATGCAAATCCGCCGACAGGCGTTGGAAATGCAAATCTGGCCGTCGCGCGCGGTGACGTCACGTCCGGCTTGCCGCCGGCTACGTCATCCAATGGCGCTGCCCGTGCCCTGAGAAACTGGGCGGACTGCCCTGAAGATCAAGGCCCTGGAGTGGACGACGACTTTACCGTCGTGAGGACCAAAAAGAGGCGCCGCGAATCTGCGAACTCGCCTACAGCGGCTGCACCATCCTCCAACATCGGAGGTGCAAGAACCAGTCGCCGACCGCAATCTTCGGCAGGATCTGTGCCCCGGGCACAGGAAATAAGAACAACCAGGGCCCACATCACAGAGGCCCGGGCGCGGCAGGCATCCTCATCTGAGGACCACTGTGTGTACCTGGAGCACGGCCCCGAGCTACAGCCCTTCCACTACCTGAGGGCGCTCGACAGGATGCTCGGAGGAACCGCCGGAGTCATCCAAGTCTCCAAGGTGAACGGCCACCAACTCCTGGGACTGGCGAACAGAGGCCTGGCCGAGCGCCTCATAAACGAGGGCCTCGAGGTTGAGGGCACACTCCTCAGGGCCTTTCCTTTCCGCAAAAGAGCGGAAAGGATAACTGTGGGCAACCTCCCCTTCTTCGTGGAGGACTCCGCCATCATCAGCGCCCTAAAACCTTATGGGCGCGTAACATCAATTGCGCCCAAACTGATGAAGGCCGGCCCATACACCTACAACGACGGCCGCCGCGAGGCATTCATTGTCCTCCGTGAGGGAATGACAACTGAGAGGCTCCCCACCCGCCTTGAGATCCCTATTAAAGGCGAGGCCTGGCCCGCTTATTTGTCCTCGGGCATCAAGTGCGCCAGGTGCCACGGCCAAGGACATCGCAGAGCCAACTGCCCCCTGCTTGCAGGGCGAACCAACGCTCCTAGACCGGCCACACCTATCTCTCCCACCAGCGTCCCACCAGTGACCGCGCCTGGGCTGCCTCGGCAGCCATCTGCCCATCCTCCACCTCCGGCGTCCCCCAGTCCAGCCATGGAGACCCCCAGCGCTTCTCCTGCGGCCCGGGCTGTGACCCCATCTGCAGCACCTCGGCCATCTACACCAGTGGCCCCAGCCGTACCTGTGGAGATGGCGCCTCCTGCCCCTCCACCTGTGACCCCTGCTCCGTCCTTGCGGGCTCCTGGGGGTTCCGTGAGCCCCCAATCAACGAAGTCGGGACCCCCCGCTCAGGGCATTGAAATGACCGCCATCGAGGAGTCCTCCGCTTCCTCTACATCATCGAGCAGGACATCCATGAGAGATGACCTCGTGGCGTTCATCCAGAGAAGCCCCACCGTGTCCTTTACTGGGACGGACGCTCTTGGTCTCGGGCGGGAGGAGGTCTTGGACCTCCTCTCTTCGAGGACCAAGGCCCAAAGAAAACGCGGGCTACTGACACCTCCGCAGACCGATGCTCTTGCCGGTCTGATTGAACAAATCCTTGGCCTGAAGCCCGCAGGCAATACCAATGTATATAAGATCTTACACCAGGTCAAATCCGAATTGAAAAAAGGACCGGCGGCAGTGCCTCCAACACCCTCACTGCCTGCGCTTCAGCATGCCGGGCCAACACCACCCGTTCCCCACGGAGTAGAGACTAAACCGGCCATGGCGACACCTCCGCCTCCACTGCCTACCCCGATGGAGGAGGAACATGTAGACCACGTGGACTTGATGGAGGACCTATTTGAGGAGTTGAACTCAGACACGGAATTAAAACCTATACTCGACTCAGGGTTCAGCACGTACGACCTCGTCTGTGCAATCCTACACAGAAACGAGAGGGCGCTTCTCATTGCACAACTCTCGCCTAGCCAGAAGATCATCTTAGCTGGCTTCATTGACATCGTCATCTGGCGCGCCCAGCACTGCGATAACCATATTCGCCAAAGATTGGCCAACTTCAGGAAGGCCCTAAACTCCTGACGGGACCCAGGCGTCCCCTCGGTGTGAGCTCCACCCACTAATGTAAATAGTCACTTTCCTCTTTACTCTTCGGAGTGAAATATTGACCAATAGTCAATAAAGTGGTTTTAATTGTCATAACAGCGAATAATATTATGCCGAATAATATTGGTATTTCAATTTTTTTTTTGCAAATGTTTAGGAACGTTTGGGACAAAACCTTGTATCTGAGTTTTTGTTCCGTTTCGATTTTCAATTATATGAATTTTGCCGATGTTGTTTTTAGTTCAAACAGTTAAAGAGTGACCAGAATGAGGTTGATCTTTAATTGCCATTTGCCTTATTTTAAAACAACAAATCCATTCGTACACTTAGGTACCCTCCAGCGCCGAGATTTCCTTCTTCCTTCATCTTCCATCACTTTGTAAAATTGTATCACATATATATATTTTCATTTTTCATTTTCATGTATATACCTTTCTCTCTCTCTCTCTCTCTCTTTGAGATGTAATATTGTCTAGAAGACAATAAATAATTTTTAATTGTCAAAAAATTGTCATTCGTACATTTAAATTTTTCTAGGAATATATTGTATCGTAGAAATCAAATCTTGGAATATCTTAAAATGTAAAAGTATTTATTGATGACGTCAGTATGACTAGTCAACAATTATCAACAAACCAACCAAACTACACCTAGAGAATATTGAGTATGCAAGATAGGCAATTAAATGATGATTTTACAAATACAGAGTAATATATTGTTCTGAAAATAGAGAAATCCATACTTTTTTTTTTTTTTTTTTGCTTATCCCTAGTACACGTGGTACAGGCCATGATAATCATGGTGGGTAGTTAGCGACTGCTTTTACTGTAAGCGCACCACATATCTACACATGTGAAAAGCAGTTCGACTTTGCACTTACAAATGTGCCAGAGCCCCGTTTGGTTACTTGCACTCGCTGGTGGGGTTGGACTTTTGCAAGAATCGGGGGCCATTGGAGCATTTTTTTTTTTTTAAACAGAAAAAAGTGCCCAATGCGGGAATCGAACCCGGGTCCTAGTGGTCGAAAACCAAACGGTTTACCTTCCATCAAAAAGGCATATATTGGATTGAATAAATATATAATGAAATATATACAGTAGACTCTCCTATAACGCAAGTTTTTACAACGCGATAAAAAAATTGCGACAAATTGATTTATATCAATTAAGGAGGATCAGAAGATGAGTTTCTTTTATTGATTGAATGCTACGAGCTTTCGGGCAAAAGCCCTTCGACAGGCAAAAATATAACTATATAAAGAAAGATAAATAACGATTTATATATATATATGTGTTAATCTTAACTGAAAACTGATTTTGAATAAAGTAAATATTAAATCTGCTGTCTGAGACCACGAGACGTCTCGTGGTCTCAGACAGCAGATTTAATATTTACTTTATTCAAAATCAGTTTTCAGTTAAGATTAACACATATATATATATAAATCGTTATTTATCTTTCTTTATATAGTTATATTTTTGCCTGTCGAAGGGCTTTTGCCCGAAAGCTCGTAGCATTCAATCAATAAAAGAAACTCATCTTCTGATCCTCCTTAATTGATATACCTTACTAGAAGAGTCTTTCCCTTTAAATTGATTTATACAACGCGAATTTTCGTATAACGCGTTATAAAATAAAACAATTTACCCTAACAACATTCGCGTTATACAAGTTTTATTTCGTACAACGCGAATTCCTAAACGCGATTTCATACAATACGGAACACATTAATCGCGTTATAGGAGAGTTGACCCTATATTAAATAAATATAATATTCAATCAAATATATGCTTTTTTATTATCTAAGAGTAATATATAATCTGTTAAGTATTTTCATTGAATAATTAAATTAAATTAAATATAAATTATTTCTTCTCGTCACAATTATATTTATAAACTTTTTGTATGTGATAACAAACCATTTTCTTATTACTGATTAAAAGATTTCCCAGCCGCTAATTGTTGTTCAGAATCAGCCATTGTTTCGTGACACTAACGACATCTACACAGAATTGTCATAGAAACCATGTCGGGTGTCACCACTTAGCAGATTGACTCAAGTCCTACAATATCTTCCTAATGGTAAAACGCAGTAATACAAATATACGAGTTTAGCAGCATTATAATTCTATATACAGTTACGAGTGTCATTCCCTAATCTCCTAATCAATCAGTCATCAGTTTTCATCTCTGTCACCGTTTGCTTTTTTTTTTTTGGAATGGCGCCCTCCTATTGGTTGGCTACGGTCACGCCACCTTTGCCCCCTCCCCCCACTCGCTATTTCGTCTTTGTAACTATTGTGTTGGAGCGGGTCGCTCCCTAAATAAATGCATATATTAGATAATAACCAAATGGAATCCTCTCTTTCTTTTTCCCAGTAAGAGACGCCTACGGAAGCCAACAGTACATAGACAGATAAAGCACATAGGCTATAGTTATTAACTAACATATGCATTTATTTAAGGCGCCAATTCATAATTGTAACAAATAGTATTTGAATCAAAACATTCAATCGGGTAAAACACGGGCGTTGCCCGGGTCATTCGGCTAGTTATACATAACGGCGAATAATATTGGTATTTCAATTTTTTTGCAAATGTTTACGAACGTTTGGGACAACCTTATATCCGAGTTTTTGTTCCGTGTCGATTTTTAATGATGTGAAATTTGCCGATGTTGTTTTCAGTTCAAACAGTTAAAGAGTGAACTCTATTATTAAACTTATATATTGTTTTATTCTAAGTTTTATTATGGCTAACGTCTGGTGTTTTCTAGGCTGGCTGGCCAGGAAGGTGACTGGGCAATCTGCCAGTGAAAGGCAACATATGTAATATATATGTGAATGTAAATAGCGATTTTTGACTTAACCATTCTACACTACTATCGGCTGCTGTTGCTGAGTATGTATTTATTTCACGCTGAATAAATTCTTATTTACATCATCTTTTGTTCTTTATATCCTTCTTCATATTGTCACGAAATGTACTTTTTCATAGTAAATGATTAAAGTACACCTATCCCCCGATTTACACGGTACTTGTTTTACACGTTTTCGCTTTTACATGGTTTTCCAAATAAGTTTTTTTTTGTTGTTGTTGTTTTTATAGCACTATACTAAATGCTACTGTGATTGAACACATGCGCTGTGTACACATCTCACGAGGAATCCCGGGCTAATGTGCTGACTACATATTTTAACCTGTCAATGAATTTTATTTTTATTTCTATGTACACCTATCCCCCGATTTACACGTTTTTCTCAGGAACGTATCTACCTTGTAAATCGGGGGATAGGTGTATTGTTTTGACCTGGTAACACCGCGAAATCAGACGATACGTGTACTGTGTCTTTTTTGGTAAACGAGAATTATTTTAATACAAATTTGAATATAATTTTTTTGGTTTCTTAAATTTAAATATATATATAACCATAGAGATAGTTTCCATCATTCTTGGTACCAGGTAGAAAACCCCAAAAAACAGACCCTCCAACTAAACAGAAGGGAATCGACACAGTTGGCCAGATGGAAATTTGGTCACCTGCGCCCTCTAGTCTATAAAGAGGGAGCTAAAAACTTCCCCATGTGCACTAGGTGCAAAACCGAAGAGGCCACTCCCCAACATTTACTAAATTGTATTGGAAAGGATAAGGGATCCCTGTACAGAGAACCAAGAAGAGTTCTTGAACTTCTTTATGAGCACGACCTCCAAGATCTTGTCTAATTTAGACTAAAAGGATAAGTAAAATATAATATATATATATAATTTAAAATGATTTTTCAAATAATATTATTAATATTTAAATATATATAATAGCTGTTAATAAACCCTATTTTTCTCTCTCTATCACTTTGTAAAATAACAAATATTTGTGTACATTGTGATCTTTCAACTTTGATTGGTAAGTATTGACAAGATGCCAACAAATATGGTGACAATATATCTATATAATATGTTTCTAAAATAAATCTCTAATTCTACTTAATACATAAAGATTTTAAAAACAGCTATAGAGATAGGTTTTGCTCGATAAAATTGGGCTAGCTTTCCAGAAAACAGTTTATTAAAGCTCTTCAGCTATGAACCACTAATAGTTATTTTATCACATCTATCTATAGCCCACGAGGAATAGCTGTTTAGAGATTGTATGCTGTAATATAATATAAATGCTTTAAATAGATTTGACCATTGACCAATGTTATTATTGTTTTTTTAGATATGTAAAATAAGTTTAGAAGATTTACATTAATAGGTATTTGTTTCGAAAATAGAGCAATCCATAGATAAATCTTTAATTAAAAAGGTATATATTGGATCAAAATATCATTTATTTTACCAATATTTCAGTTGGCTGAACGCCAACCTTTATCAAGGTGTTATAACATATTAATGTGTGTTCAGAACAAACTCAGCGCCACATAACGTCAATAGAGTTAAGTTTTAAAAATATTTTGTTATATTCAATGGGGAGTCCATAATATAAATGTATATAACAATTTTTTTCTCCCCATTGAATATAACAAAATATTTTAAAAACTTAATTCTGTTGACGTTATGTGGCGCTGAGTTTGTTGTTGACACACATTAATATGTTATAACACCTTGATAAATGTTGGCGTTCAGCCAACTGAAATATTGGTCAAATAAATGATATTTTGATCCAATACATGCCTTTTAAATTAAATAATTATTAGTTATGTGTTGTACTTTGTTAACTAATACATAAAATATGTCTTTTATAGAAATATATCTTTCTTCAATAAAAATAATAAACAAAACATATTACATAAGCCTAATTTTATCGAACGCTGTTTTAGATCTCATATATGCTAGGTGTGCAATATTTAAGAAACACATCAATTAGTAATTGCTGTTGGAATGTATATTCCCATTATTGTGTGTGATATTTAATATATTTTTACTAAAATATTAGTAAAATTTTCATTTATTTCAAATGTCATAATAGAGATATAAACATTTTATTCATAAAATATACATAGAGACAAACAAAAAAGAGAAATATATATTTATTCACTTTGTTTATATTTTAGGTTGATGTTTTTGTTAATTTCTTTTTCTTATTAAAAAAATCATTTATATATATTTTATATTTAATAAATTTATATTTTGTAGAGAAATCATTTTAAAAAACTTATAAAAACATATTTTAAAATAAATCATATCCCATAAAATTGAAACGAATTATATATTTTCTTTAAATTTGATTATATATATTATATTCTCTTATATTAAAATTACAATTATATTCTCACAATGAGTATCTTTTTTATTTAAAAAACGCTAGCTTTCAAGCGTTATTCGCTCTTCAACGGGCTTAATATAATATCGACTTTATCCCACCAGAAATATTTACAAAAAAACAAACGCAGGCCGCGTGGATATATTTATAACTGAAAATTTTGAATTGGTTTGTAATTTAACTATTTAAACTATTTTATGAAATATATCTATTTTAATTTTTAGGGCATCCAGAACCTATAAAATTGATCTATTGATTTCTTCTGAGATATCGGCATTGTAATGGTAAATCTATTGTTTTGTTTATGCTGTTGTATTCATTGGAAACAAGAGATTCTAATAGTAACCGTTGAAATTTGTTCTTAATGTCTTTGTAGTGGCATATCGTTTGTGTTATGTTAAATTGGTGACCGGTCTGTGCAATATGTTGATAGATCATTGAACGTTGGTCTTTTGTTCTGATATTTCTGTTATGTTCGTTTAGTCTAACTTGTATCGATCTTCCTGCCTCACCTATGTAGGTAGCATTGCAGTCTTGGCATTGAATTGAATAAATTCTCTTATATGGAAAAATCTACATTTTTAATTTATAAATTTGTCTTTTTTTCTAATTTTAGTTATAACAAAAATCGAAATAAATGTTTAAGAGTTAAAAACATAATTCAAGCTAATTACACACATACCTTTGGAAAATGAAAGGAATATTGCATATATTTTATATTTTACAAAAATTACAGTTTATTTTTGATTAATATTAAAGTCTGCCTTTTTATTCCACATATTTCTTTTAATTTTTG